CTTAAAAAAAATCACCAAGTTTCAGCCTCAAATTCAAAGTACATGCATTTAAAAAAAATTCAAATAAGTTATCAACAAAAACGAGCATAAAATTCAAAGCCCGGCCTAATGAAAGAATTAGCACATAAGATTTTTATTGGAGAAAGTTCAGCAGTCAAGGACCAACATATAAAAATTCCAGCAATTTACTCCAAATAAACAAATTATGAAAATTCATAAAAAGTTCAGCAATTTATCGAATTTAAATAAAAACCGAACCAATTCCAACTCCAAAAATTCCAATAGTTTTACGGCATGCTAGTACAAATAAAGAAACATCTCAGACAAAAATCATAATTTTCCTGCAACTAACCAATTTAACAAAAATAAAACACTATTCAGCAGAAAAAGTGAAAAAATTATTTACCCGACCAATATCAATCCAAATATTCTATAAATATTAATCAGCAACCGAATTAGATAGATTGGCCACATATTACAATTTCATGAATTTTGGAGCACTACACAATTTATTATGAATTAAACATGAATCTGACCAAAAGTCACTATAATTTTTAAAAATAGCTACAGACCTCCGAAAAAACTGAAATTTGTACAAGAGCTACATAATGACGAGAGGTAGATACAGTACAAATATCATAGAAATCAGATCAGTATAACATTTTTAGTGAATTTATCAAATTTCAGCAACTATACTTGTTCGATAAAATCATAAATGACTCGAAACTCGACCAACTCGTCCAAGGCCTTCGCCATAAGGCCAAGAGCTCACACGTGTTCCAAAATCAACAGCCCTAACACAAAATTAACATGATCTAAGATGATCTCTCAATAACCAACCAAGATCCCCACTAAAACATATAATTTAAATGCCCTAACATGAAATTCATACCAAGGCATCTTTCATAACACTCCTAACACAAAATAAACGAGAGGGTATCAAGTCGTAGTGTACCGTTCTCACAAAGGATACACGAGACGGTAGAGAAGAGGCTGAACCGGGGTTGAAAGCTCACGCATAGCAGGGGAGCGATAGAGGTTTTCTTGCCGGAGGAACAATAGGACCATCGACTGAGGGTTGCTGCCGGCGATTCTCGTGGTGGCGGAGGGACGCCAGAAATAGGTAAGCAGTGGTTCACGGACGGTGGCTCTGCAACTGATCTCAGCGAAAGGGAAAATATACGCGGGGACTCGTCGGCCTTGATCGGCACTCCGACGAAACATGACGGGACTCAACGGCTATGCTTGACACTCCAACGGGACTCGACGGGACCCGACGGCTAAGAACGGTAGTCTGACGATCGTAGTAATGGAGGTCTGCAAGTCGTCGGTGCTCGCGAGTCTCTGGCCTGGGACGACGCGATTTAAGGTGGTGATGACTGGCAACGTCGAACGATGATGATGGCCTGTTAGGACGACGATGATGGCGTGGTGGTGTTCTGCTCAACGACGGAAAAATGTCGCCGGGATGGAGCAGGACCTCCCGACAGTGATGTGCAGCGAAGATGGAGGCGCTGCGGTGGCCGAGGGGTGAAGCACGGCGGCTCTGCGCGTGGACGACGGGTGTCTA